TTTGTGATTGATGTGATACAATACGCAATGGCATGGAATGAGCATGAGAAATGCTAACCATTTGTAGTATGTGAAATAGATGAAGGTGATATAAAGGCAGCATTCTAGAGATCTGGTCTACTCAAGAACTCAGTTAGATGGACATCAGTATTCTAAAAGAGAAAATTCAGGTGTTACTGAACAGGATAGAAATAAGAGGAAAAAATGGTGAAAAAGATGAAAGGCTAAATATTGTCAATGCTATTGATAGACAGCTGCAAATCCAATTTCAATTATTGAACAGTTACTCTACAAGGTCCCAGTACAAATGGAATGGTGTCACATCTTTATCAGTAATTATCAGTAATTATCAATTATTTATAATATTGGTAATTATTAAATATATTTTGCTGAGTAATTTAACAAAAGAAAAATCACTACATTTACTTTCTCTAGATGGCTTTGAGTCTGAAGATTTATTTTTAACCACCAATTTAGGAGGGAAAAAAATCATTTTAGGTCACTCTGCTTAAATGGAAATACTATTTATATGTTAATAATTATAAAGCAATGACAACAGTTTGTGAAGACTATGCTTTTATTAATTAGTATAGTATAACAAGTAAGATGAACAGAATGTTATGTGTGTGAGTGGTGTTTTGTTGGCCCAATATATTTTGTTTAGTATATGAGACAGAAAGGGATTAACATTTTATATTTGTATCATTATAAAATAACATCTTTGAAGGGTAGCTTGTTTCATTATCCATATCAGTGATGAGGAAATGTCTAAGAGGAAATCCATATGGAAGTATTAGAAGAATATAGGAGATAACAGAGCAATCTTTTTCATAATTAGTTCCTACTATTATTTAAATCTACCCATAAAATAGTTGTAAAAAAAACTCTATTTCTTTTTTTTTTTTTTTAAGATTCTTAGCCCATAAGAAAGAAACCCAAAATATTTTTCTTGGGACTACATAACTTAACCCAACATTATAGAAATACCTAAGTTTTCATTAATAGCTTCCTTTACCTTCTATTAAAAGTAAGTTGCTAGAGGAATTGCTTAATATAGGTTTGAAAATGATTGCAAATATCAACAATTGATTCAATAACTACTAGAATAGTTTTTTGACTTAAATATATACTATGTTACAGGTTCTAAATGGATCTAAGGTTGCAACAGTTTTATAAGAGCAGGGACTTTAAAAGATAATACTTTCACATTCCACATTGATACCATCACTGACTCAATGGATATGAATTTGAGCAAATGCCAGGGTGCAGTTAAAAGGACAGGGAAGCCTGGTGTGCTGCAGTCCATGGGGTTGTGAAGAGTCAGACACAACTTAGCAACTCAGCAACAACAACCTCATTCTCATGGCTTAAAAACTGTCTGGAAGAACTCTCCAACAGAAGTATTTCATTCTATGGTTATATGCCACTTTCTATAAATGAAGAACTGAGACTTCATAATATAAACAAAAGGGAAACATGTAATAAAACTTGAGCAATGTATTAAAAGGGAAACTGCCCTTTAGAGATAATGGATCTATTCTCTACTGCATGCATGAATGCAACTCTCATTAACGTTAATGGAAGTTATGCATAAGCATCAAGAAAATATACCTGGTATAATGGATTTCCAGAATGGGTAATGGCATCTAATGTATTCCTGGCATAGCTATGTCTTTATGCAGCCAAATAAGAGTATGCCTAAAATTTGGGGATAGAGATAAGAATTTAAGAGAAGAATTTTAAAGTAGTAAGAAAGTCTGAGAATACAATAATATCTTTGCATTTTTCTTCTCTCTTAAAAAAACTCCTTCCAGTCACTGGTAATTTCTCTCCTGCAATTGTGCAGATTTTAAGAGTCTAGTTTCAAAGCAATGATGTCACCTAATCAATTAACTGATCTCCAGTAGCATATTGGGCACCTACTGACTTGGGGAGTTCATCTTTCAGTGTCCTATCTTTTTGCCTTTTCATACTGTTCATGGGGTTCTCAAGGCAAGTATATGAAGTGGCTTGCCATTCCCTTCTCCAGTGGACCATAACTGCTGGGAGAAATATCAATAACCTCAGATATGCAGATGACACCACCCTTATGACAGAAAGTGAAGAAGAACTAAAGAGCCTCTTGATGAAAGTGAAAGAGGAGAGTCAAAAAGTTGGCTTGAAATTCAACATTCAGAAAACTAAGATCATGGCATCTGGTCCCATCACGTCAAGGCAAATAGATGGGGAAACAGTGGAAACAGTAGCTGACTTTATTTTGGGGAGCTGCAAAATCACTACAGATGGTGACTGCAGCCAGGAAATTAAAAGATGCTTGCTCCTTGGAAGAAAAGTTATGACCAACCTAGAAAGCATATTAAAAAGCAGAGACATTATTTTGCCAAGAAAGGTCCATCTAGTCAAAGCTATGGTATTTCCAATAGTCATGTATGGATGTGAGAGTTGGACTATAAAGAAAACAGCATCGAAGAAATGATGCTTTTGAACTGTGGTGTTGGAGAAGACTCCTGAGAGTCCCTTGGATAGCAAGGAGATCCAACCAGTCCATCCTAAAGAAAATCAGTCTTGAATATTCATTGAAAGGGCTGATGTAGAAGCTGAAACTCCAATACTTTGGCCACCTGATGCAAAGAACTGACTCATTGGAAAAGACCCTGATGCTGGGATAGATTGAAAGTGGGAGAAAAGGGACTATAGAGAATGAGATGTTTGGATGTCATCACCGACTTGATGGACATGAGTTTGAGAAAGCTCTGGGAGTTGGTAATGGACAGGGAAGCCTGGCATGCTGCGGTCCATGGGGTCACAAAGAGTCAGACATGACTGAGCAACTGAACTGAACTGAATCAGTTAACTAAGGTAACTTATAATCACAATGCCTGACACAAAGTTAATGCACATAAAAGTTTAGTTGCTTTCCCGATCTTACTTGGATATTACATATAAAAATTCTCACAGTAGTAGCTATCAGTAATCCAGAAATCTTTTTTTCTCTAAATTCAAAGGTTCTTGATTATAGATTATCTTGTTGATGTTTTGTTAGCTTAGTTAGCTGCCCAAAGCTTTTTTTTTTTAACTGTGGAATTTTTAAAAATCAGATTGTCACAACATTCAAGCAAATAGAAAATTTTATTAAGCAAATTATAATTTACCTAATTCCCTTGTAGCTCAGCTGGTAAAGAATGCAATGTGGGCAAGCTGGGTTCAATCCCTGGAGAAAGGAAAGGCTACCCACTCCAGTATTCTGGCCTGGAGAATTCCATGGACTCTTTAGACCATGGGGTCACAAAGAGTCAGTCACGGTTGAGTAACTTTCACTTCACTTTCACTTAATTTATTGAACAGTCAAGTTAGATACTAGTATGATGCTCAAAATGTAAACCAGGGCAGTTTTATTAACCCTTCACCTAAATATCTTCCACAATTTCTGGAAGAGACATTATGTGAGCTGAACATAGTGCTTATGTTCAGAAACTCTTCATAACAGCCTCTCTATACAACTAATCTACATTCAATCATATGACAGAGAATAGTTAACTATTTTGAAATAAACTATTTCACGGTTCTTGGTTTTGGTTTTTATTTACGTCACTAATTACTCAGTTTATCTAAGGAAGAGTTCTTATCTGTTTCACACTGATATATTAGCTGTTTCTCAACTTTGCCCTGCAATTTTTTCCTATTCAAATCCTTGGGAGCTTCCCAATCACATATCTTGCTTCTTCTTCAATAATGGAGACTCAACAGGTCTCCCCTTTCTTCCTCCCTCCCTCCCTTTTGCCTTTTGCTTTCCTTTCTGTCAACTCTACATAGGGTGTAAGCGTTTATTCTCCCTTTCTCTCATCTAAAAGGGTGGGACAATTCTATTGAAGTTTTGAAGAATAGTGAATAGAGGCAAAACTGACTTAACACTCATGTAAACATTGTCATGTTTTCCTTGACAGTCACTTGTATAGGTATACTACTGAAATATTTTTTTAAGGTTTATATATATATATATATATATATATATATATATATATTTGGGATGTGATGGGGAGGGAGGTGGGAGAGGGGTTCAGGATGGGGAACACATGTAAATCCATGGCTGATTCATGTCAATGTATGGCAAAAACTGAAATGTTTTGAGCAATATTGAAGCTGTGCCTTTTGAGATCTATAATTTGAGAAAGAAGGAAAAGTGGAAATTCTGGCCAAGAGTCTGGAAATAGGATAGACCAAACAAGGTGTAAAGGGAGCTGACAAGAACAGAACTAGTGTGATTAGAAATTTCTTGTATGCCTGACATTTTGAGTATTAAGTAGCGTTGCCATACATTTACTGAAGATATTACCAAATAGTATCATCCAGAGAGACTGAAGCTCAGAGGGATTTAGAAAATTTCCCAAAGACAGACACATGGTAAGTGTGTGTGTGTGTGTGTGATTTGACTCCAAAACTCCTGAACTTTACACGGCTAGGAAAGACTGCCTCATTAATAAAATGGAGTTTTATTGGTTACATTCTCTGTCCCCTGAGTAGGTCATCTAAGCCATCAAATTAGAGTTTTTGGTCTCCTACCAAACTTCCAACTATTCATACCCTACACCACATAATCTGTACACTAGAAAATAACATCTTCCAATTTTCAAAAGTCTCTAGTGGGCAAATTATTTTATATTTCTTAATAAATGTACACCATTCTTAATCCCATATATAATATCTTTTCAAGGGCATGTTACTCCATTATGATTCAGAAGAACATATTTGTCCACAATTTCCTCATGCAAAAGGAGGATAAGCTGCCCTTCATTCTCATACAATTGTTGAAGGACAAAATTTATGCAAACTAAACATGTTTGTTGGTGAGAGCTATTTTGTAACTTTTCTTTTCTAAGACCTAAAATAATACTTTGTGTATAACTCTAAGTAAACGTTGAATGGGTGACCTTTGACCTCTTAGTTCCACATATAGCTCCAAAGAAGAAATACCATGGAAACCATTACCTATTGTATTACAATGAAAAGAGTCTGTTTTTAGTGTCCTAAGTACGTTCTAACAGGTAAGTACTCTACCATTCTCATTACATCTGTCAATTTTGAATTTAAAGAAGTACTGTGGCATAATAGAAAAAGCATGGGAAATCCTAAAAAACCATTTGTTCAAGTCCCCTAAAATACTTATTATGTAGTTTATGATCTTTACTAAAGGTTAAATAATTTGTTTGTGCTTCAGTATCCACAGCCACAAAATTGGAACTGAATATTTACCCCATTGATTTGTTAAGATGAAAAGACAGTGTACCTGTTCCATATTCTGCAGAAAATAAATTATTACTATTGTTATGATAGTAATTATCATCACTATCAACAGTATTCAAGTCAATACAATGAGGCTAGAAAGAATTACTTCATAATCTAGCATTTATATGCACATTTTACTAAAATGTGTTTTTTAGGTCGTGAACAATACTGCTAATTGATGGGCATTGAGTTAATTAGGGTACACAAAGCACTAATTGCAGAGAACAAAAAAGATTCCCTAACACGAATGTCTCACAATTTAGAGCACATTTGTAATACCATCTATTATAGGGTATGGGTTCTATCAGCACAGCACTATGCTATATTTCCCTGCAAAATCTAAATTTGTATACCCAAATAATAAATCTGTGGTCCTGGAAACTTAAAATAACCAAAACATTTCCCTTTCTTTATTTCTCTTTCTTCATTTCCAGAAATTTAGAGTTTGTTTAGTATTCCAAGCAAATAAAATAATTTGCTGATTTTCTCCACTTATTTCGTTGTTTTCTTCTTTCATCCCATTCCCCAAACTCTATCATTGAGTTCCTTTACTTGTCTCAAAAACTCATTTACTCTATAATATAAAATAGAAAGAAATGCACTGGAGAAGGAAATGGCAATCCACTCCAGTGTTCTTGCCTGGAGAATCCCAGGGATGGGAACCTGGTGGGCTGCCGTCTATGGGGTCACACAGAGTCGGACATGACTGACGTGACTTAGCAGTGACAGATTAAAATTACAGTATTATTTGTGGAAAGAAGAAAGGTGTTATTTAACATTTAGTAATCAAAGTACCAGATCATCTAATGTGCATGCTCAGTCACTCAGTTGCAAACCCGTGGATAACAGCCTGCCAGACTCCTCTGTCCAGGGAACTTCCCAGACAAGAATACTGGATGGGTAAATCATCTAATTAGCATGTGAAAATTTGGTCACCAAAAATCTGACCAGTTTATGAATGGTCTCTTTGCTGAATTTCCATAGCTGCATTTTATAAACATCCTAAATATTGTCTCAACACTTAGAGAAAATATAACTGCCAGATTCAAAACAGAAGCACAAAATGCACAGAAAATCAGCTATCTAATCTAAAAACCATATATTATGATTTTATCCCCAATTTTTTATCAATTTAAAGCACTTAATAATAGACAAAAATACAGAGAATACTAACTTGTGGAAAGACCTACCACAAGTTACTTATAACCCTTTTCCAACATTTTCTCCTTGTTCAAGCTATACATAGTCTCCTAAAAATAAGAACACCAGCTATACTTGCTTAGGAGTCAGAAGGAAAATACTCATCTTTCCTTTTTGACCCATATATACCAATGTATTATACCTTCATGTTTACTTACCAAACAATATTCCAGTCAATATCGTGGCCATATGCCTCCAATCTTTGCTTAATGTAATGGATTCTGAATATACCTTATAGAATTGCTTTCTGGTCTATTCTAAACTCACCTTACACTATACCATGTTTCTTTTCGGGTCTGAATAGTAAATCCTTATATTTGATGGATTAAAGCAATGCTCTTTTATTAAGAACACATACTGAGAAAAATAAACTTAAGGAAGTATGAAGACTGACTCTGTAAGTTGGAACATATGAAGCTCAAAGCACAAAAGAGAGGAGTTCCATTAAAATAAGTATAATTTAAAAGTCAAATTTAAATATATGCAGAAAGCATATGAAATTGTGTGTGTTTTAGCCATCAGAAGCAGACAATATTACTTGCCTCAAAATTTTCAAGTTCTTTAATGAAATAATACGATGTTTAAAATATGGGGAAAACCACTATAAAAACTCAGTAGCGTTACTATGACAACAGAAAACCATTCAACAGTCTTAGACTAAGAAAAGTGAAAATAGATTCTTGCTTCATGAGAAATAATATTAAATAGGAATATGCAATATTCTAGTTATGCTTTTGACTTAATAAATATTCCATAATATTTTAAAGCACATTTCTTATAGAAACACATATACTGAATCTTTGGAAATAATGTTTTTAAAAATTAAGGGAACATGACTCTAAATCTGAAGAAACATATGATGTCTTTTGGGATAAAGATGGCACATCAATTTATTTCATTTTTTGCTTCATTTAACATATATTTATTAGGCTTCTACTACGCTCCAGCACTGTGATAGGTACTGTGGAAAAAAATGATGAACAAACAACACAATCCTTATTATCTTGGAGAGAAAATGAAGTAGGATAAAAAGACATTAATCATTTAATCATAACTATAAGATCTCTGAATATACTGTTTCTCCTGGTGGAAAGGGAATAGGGCAGAATTTCTGATACTGAGAGAATGTATGGTGAATTCTAAAAACTGTAAAAAAAAAAAAAAAATCCAGTATAGGCCCAATCATACAGGCTTTTGTAAACAAGTTAAGACTTTGATTTTTAGTCTAAAGGCATTAGAAAACTATTGAAGTGCTTATCAGTTCAGTTAAATGATATTTTATCTCAGAGAAAATTAAATTTCAGACTGTATTACTCACTTTTGTTGTAGAAACTAATTATCAAAAGCTTATAAAACAACAAAAGGTTTGTATATGAATAGTGCCGGTCAGTTGTAACTCAGTTCTGATTGTCAGGATACACTTTTACTCCCCAAGATTTTTTCATTTTCAGGTCAGGCTGAGAGATTAGCTCCTATCTGGCACACCTCTTCTTATAGCACATCAAAAACATCCCTCAGCAGTGCATAATATTCTAAAAGCCTCCATCTCAAAGTGAAAAGATCTTTTTGCTCCGATTTCCTTGTCTCTCACAAGTCACATAGCCAAGACTGACCAAGTGGTCAGAAAGTATTTAAACAGATGAGAGAGTTGGCAAGCCACCTGGCAAGGAGATAGAAAGGGAAATATGCAATTCTTCATTAGAGACAGGAGAGAAGAATTAGGGAAAGTAAAATAATCTACAAGTGTTTAAATGTACTTTTGTGACTAAGGAATAAAAGTATAAGATCATATAGAAAGGTCATAGCATTCTTAAAATCACCTTGCTTGTTACTTAGATATGTGGAAACAAATTGGTCGACATATCACAAATGAAACATTTAGAGGAGGTATTCAAGGATGACAACTCCAGTAATAATTTGAAAGCATATGCAACTTCATAAAATATGTATCCCCTGATAGAAAAGAAAACAAAATTAAAAGTCATCTTTGCTAATAGATTTCAAGAACTGCATTTGTAACCCATATGTACTTATTGTTTTATCTACAGAAAATAATTTAATCTCAAAGATTTCATAACCAGAACATTAGGGCTTGTGTTTAGTTATTTGTGCTCATGTGAATCAAAAGTATACACAGCACTATTTCATGCAAATAAGCATTAAAACTTAGCCAACCATTTCCTGTAAAAAAAATGTAGTTAATTCTTGAACATAGTGAGAGTAATGGTTTGGCACTTAAAATATGAATCATATTTTATTTGCAAATTCATAGTTTAATTTCATCATATATAAGCAAAACCTGTGTATTAAGGTAATATCATATTCATTTTGTACTTTTTAATGAGGGAATTTCTAAACCAACAAACAATTATCCCTCACCATTAAAAAATTTTTCTAGTGATGACCTCGTGGGAGTTTCACTAGTCTGTCTAGAAATTTAAATACCTCCTGTCTAATCAAAGTGTCCACAAGCACAGGATTTTTTAAAGTATCATATTCATACCAGCAAATACTAATTTTTGTAAGTATTATTCCATGAAAGGTTATTTTCATTAAATACTATGCCATTTTAAAAATTACCCATTTGTCGTATGTTAGCTTTCTATTGCTATATGACAAATTACTCAAATTTAGCTATTTACAACCACACTAACGTATCATACAAATTTCCTTGGGTCAAGAATGTAAGTACCAGTTAGATGGCTCCCATGCTCAGAATCTCACCAGACTGAAATCAAGGTGTTAGCCAGAACTGCAATCTCATTCTAGTCTCAGGCCATCTTCCAAACTTACTGGTTGTTGGCAGAATTCAGTCCCTGTTGCTGTAGAGAAGGAAGTCTCCCTTTTCTTACTAGCCGTAAAATGGAATACTCTCAACTCTTAGAGGCTACCCTCAGGACCCCGCCAAAGGTCCCAATCCAATAGGCAGTTCACGATGTGGTAGCTGGCTTCCTCAAGGACAGCAGGAAAATCTGCTGTTTGACTCTCTGACTTCTTTGAAGGACTCAAATTATTACATCAGGCTCACATAGTAAAATCTCTCTTTTGATTAGTTCAAAGTCAACTGATGGGGGATTTATTCATATCTAAAACATCTCTTCTGCCATATAAAGTCACACAATCGTGGCAATGGATACACCATCATATTCACAGGTCCAAACCACCCAGACCCAAGGGAGGGAATGGAATCTTCAAGGCCATCTGAGAATTCTGTCTACTACACAGGGTTACTTTTTTTTTTTTTCTCCCCCGAATGGCCCTGATGACTCAACAATCTAAAATGTAGAAATATAAATTCAACTCCACACAATCAATTATAAGCGCTATTTGACAAAAAAAATATGCCTGGAAAATCTTTCAGGGGAAAAACATGTTTGCAATATGTATTCCATGTTGAGAAACCTTCTCTAAAAAACTCAGTTCATATAAACATACATTTAAACTTAAAATAATTTTATTATAAACAGTGAGTGAACCAGAGAGGCCCAAAAGGAAACTAAGGTGAGTTTTTTAATCACTCTACTCCCACACATTCCTCCAACTCAATCTTTTCCTTTTTCTTATTCCCTTTCCTCTGTGGATGATCCTGCATGGGAAATCTCTGCTTGGACCCTCAAAAGATATGGAATTAGTAAAAACCATCATCCTGCTATAATCTGAGTTCCTGAAAAGAGTGATCTAAGTTTCCAGTAAACCAGCAAACAAGCCAATGAGAGAGACTGTGTGTGTGAAAGACAGAATATTGGCTGGCAACCCTAATCTTACCCCCAACCAATGTAAGTCCTAAAGTTTGTGTTTCAAATTGAACGCTCAAACCTGAAGACTCATGTCCCCCTAAAATCCTCTGTACAAACCTAACAGCTTTATTCACTGGAAACAAGGCAAAAGTGCTTCAACAAGTGTCTGATAAACAGAACTTGTACCTACACACAACAGAACAAGACTCAGCAACACAAAGGACAAGCTGCCAAGTCATGTAACAGCAAGGATAAACTTTAATGAATTTTTCTAAATGAAAGCGACCAGAACCAAAATAGTTCATTCTGTAAGATTTTATGTATACAGCATTCTGGCAAAACTACTGCACCAGTGGTTTCCAGGAGTCAGGGGTAGAAGGAATATTAACTGAGGGGGCTACACAGGGACAATTAAGGTACCATTGAACACAAGTATCTTGGAAAATGGCAGATCAAGATGACAAAGTGTTAACAGATGATTTTCCCATTGGAAAAAAATTTGAATGCTCAGCAAATTCCAAATTTACATTTATTTTTCTTAGTTTTAAATTCTTTTTTTAAATTTCCATTTATTTTTATTAGTTGGAGGCTATTTGCTTTACAATATTGTAGTGGTTTTTGCCATACATTGACATGAATTACTTTTCTCGATAGTGGCTGCACTAGTTTGCATTCCCACCAACAGTTTAAGAGGGTTCCCTTTTCTCCACACCCTCTCCAGCAATTATTGCTTGTAGACTTTTGGATAGCAGCCATCCTGACTGGCATGTAATGGTACCTCATATTTTTCTTAGTTTTAAATTCTTAAAGCAGCCTTATATATTAAAAAGTGTGTGTATGTTTCTGAACCAATTTTTTCTTTCACTAAGAGTTTGTAACAAACTGAATATCTGAGGGTGAAAATTGATAAATATTAAATGGTGTAAGAAATCATTACCTTTTACTATAAGCAGAAAAGTTCTAAGGCTGATAAGGGATAAACACCTAGACTATTGAGTTGCCACTTATTCCTGAAAAATCATCTAATTTCAGCATAATCACAGTATAAATATTTAATTGTTTATCAAAAATATTCAAGGGAGAGATGAGCTTTTAGGTACATTCTGCAGGTAGGTATAAGGAAGTGCTAAACTTTTCAATTCAATTAGAACTTGAAAGCTGCCCACTTTGAGATTCACTGTCAGTTTGAATTGATTGACATTCACTGTTTTATATTTCTGTGATTTTTTTTTATTGTTTATAAGGTTCTTTCACTTTTACTATTTTATTCTATTATAAAATACATGGTTCAGATTCAAAAATATGAAGATACAAGCTATAGCTATAGTTTTACCACAATAAAGAGATGAACCTAGATATATAAGAAGAAAGATTAAAACCTAACTTTAATCACCAGCCCAGGTTGGGTGCATGAGACAAGTGCTCGGGCCTGGTGCACTGGGAAGACCCAGAGGGATCGGGTGGAGAGGGAGGTGGGAGGGGGGACCGGGATGGGGAATACATGTAAATCCATGGCTAATTCATTTCAATGTATGACAAAAACCACCGCAATGATGTAAAGTAATTAGCCTCCAACTAATAAAAATAAATGGAAAAAAAAAAAACCCTAACTTTAAATTGTAAGAAATGTCTGTCCTTGCAAAAATATGAAAAATGGATGGCAAAATATACTGAATTCTCACTGTAACACTTTAATACTAAGAGAAATTCAGCAGAAAGAAGCTTATCTGTCATTTTACCTGAGATATTTGGAAGGTGAAAATAGAGAAAGGATCTAGGTGATCGCTTGTGCTGATCCCTTGAGGATTGCATTATAGAAAGATTTCACAGTATCCCTTTATTCATCAATAAAATAATTAGATATTTAAATATTCAGAAATGTATTAATAATCCCGAAAATATTTTATCAGTTTTTCCTACAAACCATTTAAATATCATTCTAGCATTTAAGATAAGAGCAAATAATTGAGACAGTAATAAAAATCAGATAATCTTTTAAAACTTTTTTTCCTTTGTAAATTTACTTGAGTAAAATTGACCTTTTTTGGTGTTCATTAAAGAAATTGTAACACATCCTTGTAACCACCACAACAAGCAGGGTCCAGCAAAGTTTATCAACCCCCCCAGAAACTGCTTAAGTCTATCCCTTATAGTTACAGCATGCTCCAACCCCTGACAAATACTGATTTGTTCTCTTTACTATAGCCTTGCCTTTTCTAAAATGTCATATAAATGAAAAATGCGGTATGCGACCTTTTCATGTGGATGTTATATGTGGGAGATACAAACAAGAGTAATTTAAAAAAAAAAAAAAAAGCCCTTAATAAAATCATGTAGAGCTCATTAAAATAACGATGGAAACATGCCCACAGACTTGGAACTGAAGATAAAATCAGTTTTATAATATATAAGGTCAGAACAAAAGGCTAGAAATGGTATCTTCTTTCAAAAGACTAAAGTGTAAAGCTGTCCCCAAATTCACCTCTCATAAGCATTTATCTTTTAGATATGTTCTACAACTTGACAATTCTTATAAACTGGCTATTCCCATTTCCCCCTTTGGAATATGGGGCCACACAGTTTCCACCTGTTAGGGTCAATTAATTTGTGAAAGAGCTCCAACAGCTTTGAGCAAAAGCTCTTTTCCTTTTATTAAGGAATCAGAGAACTGCCATATGTTAATTGCTAATCCATTTCTCACCTAGAATAGTGAGACAACACAAAGGCATTATTTACACAGCATATTAAATTACTGCTTTTTAAAAATATAAATGGATATTTCTATAACAATAATGATAAGCTTTTCCACAAGAATTTAACTTTTATTTGTGAATTTATTTTCTCTAGTGCAATTTTAGGAGGAAAACATTGATAGAGGAGAAAAATTCTTTCAAATGATTTTTGATTCATCTTTATAAATGAACTGAAGATTATGGGTATAATAATTTATAATAAAGAACAACTCCATAAATATTAGTTTATGATAGAAAATACATAACTTTATATCAATTAGGAGATTGTTTTGTTAGCTGGACCTCTCAGAGAGCATAGTGATGGGATAGACAACACTAAATAAAGTTACTACAACTTCCTAGGGCTGGCATATCTAGAAAGTGATAAAGAAGATCCCATTTCTTACTTGAATTTATGGTACTTTATTTGTTGTATAGTTTGAATGACAACTACGAATGTCTAAATATAAGAAAGGTTAAGAAGAAAACTTCCAGATTGCTTGATGGAGCTAAGAATTCTTATCCATTACACAGACTTGTTAAGGAAAAAAAAAAAAAATCAGGGTTGGAGAAAAGGAATCAGTATCTCAATTTATGTTTCCTATTATCTGTCATTTTCTCTTATTATAATAATATAGAATTTCAAACTCTATCAGCTATCTAGCCATTATAGTATTTGCAAACTGGTGAGAATATACAGTTTCACGTATACTTCACTACCCTGGAAGTTTGAAGAACACTAACAATGAAATTTGCTCTCATAAATAATAGAATAGCAAAGCTTTGTCTTGAAATACTATGCTTTGATCTTTGCAGACTGGAGAGCTATTACACAAGATGATAAAGGCTAAAATCTCACCCACAATCTGTGAGTCTTTGGGACATGTCTATTTTCCAAATAAATCTCAAAATAATATTTTTATTACATTCATGTGCAATACAATCTCATGCTACAGCTGATTGATTTCTCCACTAAAGACAATTATTTCTTGTGTTTTCCTCTACTGGTTATTCTTTTCCATAAGCAACTTAAGAAGTCATTAGCCTTGATTATAACAATAAATGGATATTGAGCCTTATGTGTCAGGTGCTTTATTAGTCACATTTTTACAAGAAAAGAGTTATTCAAAAGGGAATCCATTTAGTTTCCCTACTTCCAATCTTCTGAAGACTACATCTATCCAGGCTTTTGGATCATTCATTCACATGAAACAATCTAAAACTTCCCAGCTGATGAATTTAGTGCTTCTACAAATATGACAAATAGAAGACTCAGCCTTGCATCTGGGGAGCAGCTGAGGATTAGCAATATGGATGGGCATTCCAGGAGAGGTCAGGAGTAAGGACTCTGGCTATGAGTTTTCAGAAAGGGAGCACTGAAATGGAATGGGAATACACCAAAGGAGGGCTTAGAGAGGAAAGAAGAATCTGGAGAGGAAAGAAGAATCAATTCCATGCAAAAGCAAGAAGCAGCATGTATCTAGTGTCTGCATTCAACTTCACATTGTCTTTGGCCCCATGGAAAAAATAGGCCTTTTTTTCTTACCTCAGGTNAAAGGAGGGCTTAGAGAGGAAAGAAGAATCTGGAGAGGAAAGAAGAATCAATTCCATGCAAAAGCAAGAAGCAGCATGTATCTAGTGTCTGCATTCAACTTCACATTGTCTTTGGCCCCATGGAAAAAATAGGCCTTTTTTTCTTACCTCAGGTCATTAGTGTTCACCCACTAAGAAAATTTGTTCTTTTTAAAAACTGTATTTATTTTACCTGGAGAATATTTTCTTACAATATTGTGTTGGTTTCTGTCATAGATCAACATGAATCAGCCATAGGTATGCCCCCTCCCTCTTGAATCTCTGTCTCACCTTCCACCCCATCCCACCTAGAGAGGTGGGTTATCACACAGCACAGGTTTGAGCTCCAGGCCTCCTGCAGCATATTCCCACTGGCTATCAGTTTTACATATGGTAATTTATATTGTCTGTGTCTCCAAGCTACTCTCTCAATTTATCCCACCCTCTCCTTGCCCCACTGTGTGCTGATGAATTGATTTACAAGTCAGCAAAAGAAAATTTGTTTTTTAAAAGGGTATAGCTTCCTTCACTTTAAGATGTGAAACACAAATCTTCAAATTCTACTCGATTTGTCATGCACTGGAGAGTAGAGAGTCAGGTCAAAAGTAAGACAATATGTTTGTCATGTGCTTCCCAGGTGGTGCTAGTGGTAAGGAATCTGCCTGCCAACGCAGGAGACATAAGAGACACGGGTTCAATCCCTGGGTCAGGAAGATCCCCTGGAGGAGGGCGTAGCAAGCTACTTCAGTACTCCTGCCTGGAGAATCCCCATGGACAGAGGAGCCTGGCAGGCTATAGTCCATGGGGTCACAAAGAGTCTGACATGACTGAAGCAACTTGGCCCAGCACACTTGTTCTGTAAACAGCACCTACGGATCCTGCCGCCTGGAGGGATGCCTTTGCCCTTCCTTTGACCTAACTTTGGTTAGGCAGTTCTCCTTTTGCAGATTTGGAATTACGGAATGAGGATAAAAGCAAGAGTCAAGAGAAAAACAGGAAAGAGAGAAACCTCAGATGTTTAATTATTTAATTATATTAATTGATTAACATAAATTACCTCTGGTTATTTCAGTTTTACACCTGATTTATTTGGGGGTTCTGGCCCTGATAAGCTGACTTTGCACCTAGACCCAGAAAGCTCAGAACAAACCACTGATGACAGCTAAGCAGTGATTCAGAAATTGCATCCGTCTCTAAACCCACACTCTGGCCTGTCTAATTTCACTTTGCTCTTGGTTCCAAATTTGTGATTCCTTACAGTAACTTCACACTTCCCTTAAAACTTCACTTTGCTTCCTCTGCTTTGCTGCTAAGAGACTCTAGCATTTGGACACTAGTTTTTAGTGTCATCTGTGGACAGCAAAGTGTTAACTCAGCGGACCTAAGTTTCTCAAACAAAATAATCTCAGAATCCATACCCCAATGCCCTCCCCTCCTCAAAAAAAAAAAAAAAAAAAAAAAGAGGTGATCTTGGTAAAAAGTGTGATGAGCAGACCAAAAGTGAACGTCCATATATTTAAGTAGAATTGATGGCTTTTAAAATCAAATCTTGCTTAGATTTTGTGTTGTCTCCCACTACTCCTAGCTCTCCACTCGACTGTGTGTCTGTCTTTAGTTCTAAAAGCTTCCACACTATTGTACTATTATATGCTTCCTTGCCTCTGTGTCTCTGGTCATGCTATTGTCTGTGTTTGGAAGATATTTCCCCTCTTCTCTATCTTTTGAAATTTTATTTATCCTTCAAAGCTCAGTTCAGATATAACATCTTAGGTAATGCTTGTTATTTGCTGTTGTTGTTCAGTCACTGAGTCATATCTTTGCAACTGCATGGACTGCAGCACACCAGGCATCCCTGTCCTTCACTGTCTCTTGGAGTTTACTCAAACTCATGTCCCTTGAATCAGTGATGCCTTCCAACCATCTCATCCTCTGTTGCCCCCTTCTCCTCCTGCCCTCAATCTTTTCCTAGCATCAGGGTTTTTTTCCAATGAGTCGGCTATGTGCATCAGGTGGCCAAAGGATTGGAGCTTCAGCTTCAGCATCAGTCCTTCTAGTGCATATTCAGTTTTGATTCCCTTTAGGATTAATTGGTTTGATCTTTGTGCTGTCCAAGGACTCTTAAGAGTCTTCTCCAGCACCAAAATGCAAAAGCATCAATTCTTCAGTGCTCACCTTCTTTATGGTCCAACTCTCACATCCATACATGACTACTGGAAAAACCATAACGTTGACTGTACATACCTTTGTCAGTATAATAATGTCTCTGCTTTTGAACACACTGTCTAGTTTTGTCATAACTTTTCTTCCAAAAAGCAAGCGTCTTTTAATTTTATGGCTGCAGTTACCATCCACCATTATTTTGGAGCGTCTCACTGTTTCCATTTCACCAGGTAGAATCAATTGTTTACTCTGTGCTAATTTAGGCATTCAGGTTACACTTTATTGGGAAAGCACAGTCTTAGAGTTTGTTGTGTATGTCTTCAGCCATGAGAAGATTAAAGAACTGGAAAAAAAAAGTGTCCTAATTTTTTTATATCCTCTAATTTGTGGTGATACCCATAATCAACTAGGTTTGCTGCCCCCCTGCCCCTGTATAATTTTTTTTCTCTGCTTTCCATTCCCACCTCTTAAATTATAATCAAAGTAAAAAGCATAACTGTTATGGAAAAAGTATCAAGACAAGTCTCCTAACCATACCTTTTCACCAGATTGCAACCAATAAACAACCCATATGAATATTCTGGAATCACTTCTAATCCTAATGCTTTGATCCTAATAAACAGTTAAGTATATGAATTGAATTTGATTAAAGTAAAAAGCTACCCAGTCTCTCTTAAAATATTCTCACTGGCCCACAACTAATCATCTTACTAGTTAGATGACAACTTGATGAAAATTAAGGTTTTTAAGTAACAAATGCTTAAACAAGATTGTAGGATGAGGGTATAAAAGTGGATTTAATTCAGAAACATTATATAAAATATAGAATTATTTTACATGTGTATCTAAATATCAGAAAGAATTAATCATTTCTCATGAATAAATGGATTATATATCATACACAAAGAAATTAAAAAGGTCATTTTTTTTAAATAGCACATTCGTAATCAATATAATTAGTTCTGTGACCATACCTACTGCTGTCTTTTTACAGAGCTATGACTACTGGATCATAACCAAGTTTGTCAGCTGAATTCCAGCTGCAGAATTCATGTCTCTCATAACTATATGAGAGGGAGAAGAGGACTACCTCATTTTCAAGCCATAAGTTGAGACCACAGTGTCATCTGGAATATGATAAAGTTTGTGAATGAGTTCATTTTATTTGGAAATCACTTAGAAAAAACAAATATGAAACCAGTGATAATGTATTTTCTGATACATTTCAGATTTAAGCCACAATTTATATAAAATAATTTTCCTGCCTATGTCAGATAGTCCATTTAGCTGTCAAAAATAATCCCACTAAACCTATATATATACACACATATATATATACATAGTGGGATTATTTTAAATTTTTATTGTATTTTATTATTATTTTATTATATATATATGTGTGTGTGTGTGTGTGTGTGTGTGTGTGTATAATCCAGTTACAGATTCTCATAGTATAAGTATTCCATAAAAAGGAAAGGGATTATCACATCATAATTTTAAATTTAATGATTTAAATCATCTTTTTCCTTTTTGGCCTTTACATGCATATGATTTTTCTAAAAACTGTAATTTAGCCTATGGAATAGTAAGAAACAACAGTCTTCAGTAAATGTACAGTTGGGAAATTTTAGTTAGTTGTTTTTTTTTAACTTCTAGGTTCATTCCTAGAATTGAAGACATTTTTTTCATATTATATATTTTTTCATTGTTTTTTATCTTCAGGTTTTTTTTTTAAAGCCAAGCAATAATAATACTTGACGTTTAGGCATGTAGATGCAAAACATGGCATTTAAGGCCTTCAACGTATGTGCCTACCTTACCTTATTAGCTAAACTTTCTTCTACCATTGTACCATAACAAGATGATACAGTTATACTAACCTTTTCAGATTGCTGAATTGTCCAAATAACAATGTCTTTCACTTACTGATATCATGTATAAGTCACAGAACCAAAGACAGTTTGTACTGTAATGAAAATCAGCATAGAATAGTTTAGACTTGTAGATATTCGGGGTTCAAATCCAGTCCTGTAGTACTTATGCAACCAAGGCAAGTCCTTGTGCCTCATTTACTTCATGTGTGAATTAATGATAATAATAGTACTTAACTCACAGAACTTTTTGAACAAAAATTAGTTAATATTTGAAAAGCTTTAGACAAATTGTAAGTGCTCAATAATTGTTAATTGGTATTTTAGCCCTAGCATTGTCACTAAAATCATGTGGAACATCAGGCAAGTCATTTACCTTGTCAAGTGAAGAGAATATACATTGCTTAATTAGTTATTAAGCTTGTTGTAAGTGCAAAGTTTAAAATTTTTAGCATTTTTAGTATTTATGTATTAACTTATAAGAATTTTTGCAAAAGGAGTGATCTTAAAGGAAATGGAGTAGAGTTAAGGATGTACCAAACGTATGGAAAGAGAAGAAAGAGAGAATAAACCAAAATATTGACTTTTCAATATTGAGCTAAGAATTCTGCAAACACTGAATAGAATGTGTGACACATAGGGACCAACACTAATGATGTTTATAAGACACAAAACCTGAAAAATATCATAAACTTACAATAGGACAATTATTTTATAAAATGCATTATGTAAATACTCAATAAATACTCATTACTATAAATACATATCTTCAGAACAATCTTACCATGTGTGTATAGTTTTATTTCCAGTTTACTAGTTGGAGACCAAAAGTTAAGAAAACTTAACTAAATTACCCAAGATCCATAACACAACTAAAATAATGCAGCACTGAGATGCAAATTGAAGTCTTTTGCAGATAAAGCCTGCGATCCTTCAATAAACGACCTCTCAATTCCAGGAAATGACATCATGTAAGTCTGTCTGAAGCAATGGTGGAAAACTAGGCTTAAAGAGCTAACACATTCCACCAAACGCTTTTAAAAGATTATGCTTCTTTTCCATTAAAAAGAAGTAGAACATATGGTTCAGGTGGCCAGACAAATAAGTGGTAATTGTTTCATCAATATCCTAAAGGAGGAAGTTGAATAATTAATTGAAACTAGAAAAACATTAACAATTCAAGAGTGAGAAGAATTGACATTATCTACTGTTGGTTTGTATAAGGTCAACTATGTTTTATATTGTACCATACTGGATATGTAGAATTGAATAGGGAATTTCAAGGATTGTTTTGCCACTTTCTTTAACTTTTCACATAAGTTTTAGAAACTAACATTACACTTTACATACACTGGTGAGAAGCAAATTTTATCTATTCTCCTTATATGACACTTTTCTATTTCTATTTTTTTCCTTTGTCTTATGCCCTGCTGCCTCCACATGTGGACTCTTAGTTTCCCAACCAGGGATAGAACCAGGGCCCCCTGAATTGGAAGCGTAGAGTTTTAACCTGTGGACCAGTAGGGAAATCCTTAACATCCTTCTTATATTCCCTACATTAGTGAAGGTAGTCTAATGACTGCAATCCATAAATGTCAAGATTTCAGTAGCTTACCACAGTAAAGTTTTGTTTCTCATTCAAAACTCCCTCAAATGAGTTTCCCTAATCAGAGTGTAGCTCTCTTTCTAACGTGATTCAGGGAGCTAGGCCTCTTTCATACTGTGAATGTGATCTCTCATCTTCCTCAATTGGTTTCTAAGATTTAGGGACCATTTCAACAGACAGAAGAGCAGGTGAAAAATTACACATGGGAGGTCTTATAAACCTGACCTGGAAGTCTGCAGACTTTATATCATTTCTACTGAATACTCATTGTACATTATATGTATTATAATGTATATACTAATACAATATACATTTCTTTGGCTAGAACTCAGTCACATGGTTATGTAACAGGTCACTCATCAGTTAGATCCATTAGACTATATCTTGCTTAATAAATAATAAACTGTAACCTACCTTCATTGATCAAGCTCACTTTGTTTTCACAAAAACTGGACATACTCCAAGCCTCAAGTAGCCTACACAATAATATGTACACCCAAGTTGTTTTTTAGGAACTCAGGGTCAGTTGTGTCCAGCTTGAGCTCCAGTCATTTAAGACTGATTTGGATAACTGACCCTTCAACTTGTCATACATAAGTGTCTGGTCAGTGACTTTTTGACATCAGAGGGCCAATAACTCCACCCTCACAACACATCTATGTCGCCATTTGCTGAACATGCATCCTGTGAAGAAGGCTGTGACTTAGCTGCACCTGCACCGGACAAAAATCACATCACCTTTTTCTTATTTCTAATCATCTTTCCTTACATTCCTCATGCCTTATGCCACCTGCTTCTTTATCTCATAAATATCCAGCCCCTTACCTTCAGTGAGGCAGACTTGAGACATTTCTCCTGTTTTCTTGCTTGGCTGTTTTGTGAACGAACCCTTTCTCTGCTAAAGCCTCGGTGTCTCTGTATTTGGCTTGCTACACAATGGGCAAACGAACCTAATTCGGCAACAGTTAGGCCTATCTACAGGGGAGGATGAGAAAAACAGCCTCACTCTATGCATGGGAAGAAGACTTGGTGACGAACTAGCAGGTCTGAGACACAGTCTCACTACCTGAAAACTATGTCTCATTTTAGAGTTCCACATATCCAAATACATCAAGGACTGCTCTAGATGCTGTCTTCTTCAGTTTCCTGAGTTATTACCACATAGGTGTGTTTTTTGCCATAGGTGAGCCCTTAAACAAGTTTGGAGGCTTTTGTTTCATTTTCATTTTACACTGCTCTTAAGGAGCTTACTCTAAAGGCAAAACAGATTAAGAGTGGGATTCAAGGGACTTTCCTGGTGATCCAGTGGTTAAGACTCTGCACTTCCACTGCAGAGGCCACGGATTCAATCCCTGGTCAGAGAATTAAAACCCCACAAGCCATTAGGTGTGACAAAAAGAAAAAGAAAAGAGTTTGATTCAAGAGAAAACATCACAAGTTCAAATGCCATCATGTTTGAGAAGTTGCTTTAACTGAATTCGTTTTCACATCCATAAAATAATACTCAAAGTATGGTTAAAAGGTCCAATTGGTATAATATATGTAATGCTCTTAGAAGAGTGCCTGGCACATAGTGAATCCTCAATAAATTTTATCAATTATTTTAAATCTGCCACTTATTATCCATTTTCTTATCTCACTACTTTTATGAAACCAAAACCTCCTGAGGACCATGATCATGTATTTCCTTTAGAATCCTATGCATTCTTAGGCAATGGTACCTTAGGCAATGATAAGTCATTCAATCATGTTCGACCATTTGCAACCCTTTGAACTATAGCCCACCAGGCTCCTCAGTTCGTGGGATTTTTCAGCCAAGAATACTGGAGTAGGTTGCATTTCCTTCTCCAGAGGATCTTCCCAACCCAGGGACTAAACCCTCATCTCATGTGTCTCCTGCACTGCAAGTCGATTCTTTACCCTCTGAGCCATCGGGGAAGCACCTTAGGAATATCAGGCAATCAAATATATGTTGGATAAAGCAAAGGATTTCTTTCTTAGTTTTTCATAAATATTCTATATGCACTGTCATTATATATGGTTGAAAAGATAATACATTGGAGCAAAATACATAGTGGTGCTTCATATTCAGTTGCAAAATACTAAAATATATTCATAATTTTCCCCATTACTTCACACAGTTTAGTACATAAATGCCCACTTAAATGTATAGGATGATATTTATGATTGAGTTTTACCCTAAGTGCCCTTTATATTAATGTAAACTCTTCAGCAGTAACCAAAAATCATTACAGCTTGATGTCTTTTCAGTGGCCCGAATGAAATGAGTTGGTCTCAGTCCAATTCCTAGTGGACAAGTGTCTAAATCAAAAAACACCACCACAATTAGCATTACTTTAGTTAATAGTTTTAACCACTGAGGTCAAGGATAAAATGAATAATAAAATTTGAACTAACCTTGTAATGCAAGTTGCAACTCCTTCCAAAATAGAGATTGCATAAGTGATATCTGATAACTGGTTAATTTGCAGAGTAAAAGGAAGAAAGGACAGCAATGAGACTAAGAATTTATATAATTTTATGAAACCAAAGTTTCTGTCATTCCTTTCCAAAAAATAGCCATTAAAAGTTTGCTTCATGAAAAAAT